CCCCCCCCCCCCCCCCCCCCCCCCCCCCCCCGACGGTCTGCCTCTCGCATATCTGGCAGGCTGGGCCACACCCGCTCACTCCCCAGGCTTGGTGTGAGTGCTCCTGCACCAGCAGTCATCTGGGGAGCGTGCCCATCACACAAGGCTTTTCTTTTTTTCCTTTCTTTTTTTAAATACAATTATCGTCAAGTTGACTAACATACAGTGTGTACAGTGTGGTTTTGGGAGTAGGTTACAGGGCTTTTCACAGGAAGTGGAGGCCAGCTCCTCCCTCCCCAGAGGAGAGGAATGATGGCAAATTGGCCCCTCCCCCGCCTCTTTCCCTCTGCCCCATGCAGTGCTTTCCCTTCAGAATTGATGGTCTGTGCACCATGCCTGATGTCGAAGCTCTGTCTAGAGACATCGAGGGTGGTCTGTGGGCCTCAGACTGACAAGACCCAGTGTGTGCCCAGATCCCCCTCCGGCCAGCGCCCCGACTGACTCCTGCCTTGGCTCTGCTGATCTCCTAAGTCCCTCTGCCATGGCACAGTGGTGAGGTCACTGGACTTGAGGGCGAGGCCTCGTTCTCGCCTCTTCTTGGTCCCACCCCTGCCCAGCAATGTGGCCTCGGAAGCTCCCTTGAAGTCCACGAGCCTCTGTCTTCTCTGGCACTCGTGGTTCTGGGGGCGATGCGGCAGAGAACCTTCCGAGCCTAAAATGCTCAGACTGTGACCGTACTTTTTCCTGGCCAGCACTTTTGAGGAGACAGGCCTAGCAGGAACTGTCCTGGGGTCTAGTGGATGCTGGACATTTGCTGTTGGGCCAGTTGGCCAGATGGTGTGGACGGAGTAAAGCGGACGTGTTTGGGAACATACTGTGTGGGCGGAGCCAACCAGACATACTAATGGGCTGAGTGGGGAGTAGGGAAAGGAGTGATATCAGAGATGATTCTGCGTTGACTCCCACTGTCTTTTTTTTATTTAAAAAAATTTTTTTTAACGTTTATTTATTTTTGAGACAGAGAGAGACAGAGCATGAACGGGGGAGGGTCAGAGAGAGGGAGACACAGAATCTGAAACCGGCTCCAGGCTCTGAGCTGTCAGCACAGAGCCCGACGCGGGGCTCGAACTCACGGACCGTGAGATCATGGCCGCTTAACCGACTGCGCCACCCAGGCGCCCCAACTCCCACTGTCTTTTTATCCAAGACTTAGCTGTGGGGTGCAGAGCAGTCCTTTCTCCCAGCTGCCTGTCCCTCTCTGTAGTCTCTGGGGTGAGACGTGACGGGAGGGAGAAGTTTGAGGGTCGGAACTGCTGGCTTCCTCTGGGCACTCTCGCACCACACCCCCAGGTGTCCTTGTCCCCCTGTGGGCCCCTCCTCTACAGACCAGCTGTAGCGTCTGCTCCCCCCACCCCCCAGCTGCGGGACCACCTTGCTCACCCGCTGCCTTGCTGTGTCGCAGACTTTCCGCCTGTACCGGGAATACAAGGACCATATTCTGGTGAAGGCCTTCATGGAGTGCCAGAAAAGGAGCTTGGTCAACCGGCGCCGCGTCAACCACATGCTCGGCCCGAAGAAAAACCGGGCTCTGCCCTTCGTGCCCATGTCCTACCAGTTGTCCCAGACCTACTACAGGTGAGCCCCGCCGGCGGGGGGGGGAGGGGGGGGCTGGGGAAGGCGCAGGGCGTCACCTCCAGGGGGCATGGGGCCCTCCCGTGGCCGCAAGTGCAGGGTGCAGCTTCTGGAACGAGTTTCCTTCTCTGCTCCTGTGCCACCTGCTGTGGGGATAAGGGCAGTGCTCGCAATGGTTTGTTCTGGGACATTTACCAAAATGAGTTTCTAACGTAACAATTCGACTCACGGCACAGCCTCGTGGTCGGGCCTAATCGGTCATTCTCACAGCTCAGAGCTGCTCCGGGCTTCATCTTGAAGCCATCCCATATTTTCCAGACTCCGTTTGCAGCACACCAGCCACCTGAGTGGTGGTTTGGGATGCTGTGAGTCACCTTCCGGAGTGCCTCCTGACGGGAGCACTCCTCACGGCGTGGTCCGCAGCCGGCGTGGCTGGTCTTGGTCACCCGCTCCGCATTTTGTGCCACTGGCCTCCTTAACCACACACATGGAGAGGAAATCTGTGGAAGAGTCCCAGGGGTCTCCTCTCCTTGGCAGCCCTCCTCTTCTCCAGGCTGTTCTCCTTGTCCGTCCTCAGATCTGCACTGAGGTCGTCAGAAACAGAAGAGCAGCAAAATGGGGGAGGGGGGGGTTGGGTTTTCTTAGGCATCCCTTGCCCATAACTCCAGACGCTCACGCCTTTCTTGAAGGCCCCTCCCGAGTGACCTTCTGCGTCCTTTGCCTTCCTGGGATGCTGCCTGCTGCAGAAAAAAGAGCCGTGGCTTGAGAGGCAAGAGACATGGGTCCAGGTCCAGCAAGGCCACTTCTCGACCGTTTTTCCCCTGCAGCATTCTAGTCTGTGAGCCAAGGGGTGGTGTTCACATCAGGAAGACCTCTGGGTCCCTCCCTGGGACCTGGGCCCGCATTACAGCGATATGGGAAGGCACACTTGTGGACAGAGACCAGGCCTTGACTGTGCAGCCGCCTCATGGAGACAGTGAGACGGACACACTCGTGTCCTCTCACCTCCCCGTGGTTCAGGGCTTGCCTCGCGTAAAGGTTACCATTAACAAAACGTGCATCCACCTTCCCCAATTCGGCGCCTGTTCATAGCAAAAGGCCGCGAGGCGTGGAGTCACGGGTTAGATGAAAGGCCATGGCCCCTCCGTGCGGGTGTCCGGTGAGCAGGGAAGGCACATGCAGAGGGGATTGGAACGCGGCGCCCTCACAGAGGCGGGAAAGAGGGCTTTGCAGGGGGGCTGGCGTGGCCGGTTTTGGCGAGGGTCTGAAGCACCCGTAGCGCATCCACGCGAAGCCCTCCAACATCCCGTCCTCGGTTTGGACCTTACCTCCGTTTCGTCCGCACAGGATCTTTACTTGGCGATTTCCAAGCACCGTCTGCACAGAATCGTTCCAGTTTTTCAAGAAAATCCTGGCCGCCGGCAAGTTGGACCAGCCTGATAATTTTTCCTTCAAAGACCAGGATAATAATGAGCCTGCACGCGACATGGTGGCATTTTCTCTGGACGGCCCCGGAGGACACTGTGTGGCCGCCCTGACCCTCTTCTCTCTGGGCCTCATTTCCGTGGACGTCCGGATCCCGGAGCAGATCGTGGTGGTGGACAGCTCTATGGTGGAGAACGAGGTCATTAAGAGGTAAGGGCTGGCGTGTAGGCAGGTGGGGCACGCACGCTGCTCTGAGCACAGCCGGGGCTCCGGCACCGGGGGCTTCCTCTCACGGCCTGGGGGAGTGGCCACGCCCCGGCTCGTGCGCGGTCCCCTAGGTCCGTCTTCCTCTCCCAGCCTGGGGAAGGACGGGGGCTTGGACGAGGATGACGACGAAGAGGAAGACCTGGACGAGGGCTCTGGGGGCAAGCACCGGGCCGTCGAGGTGAAAGCCCGCCAGGCCTCCCACACCAACTACCTGCTGATGCGGGGCTACTGCGCGCCCGGCATCGTCAGCACCCGCAACCTGAACCCCAACGACAGCATCGTGGTGAACTCCTGTCTGGTGAAGTTCCGGCTCCGCCGCACCCCGGCGCCCACCCGGCTCTGGCCCATCGGTGAGTGGCGCTGGCCGCCCCACGCTCCGACCCCCTCGCCCACCCCCAGGCCTCGCGGGGGAGCCTCCGCCGGCCAGCCCTTCCCCTCCTGGGCCACCCCCCCCCAGGGGCCAGGGGCCGCGTTAGAGCGGACCCCGTCTTCTGTTCCTTTCCCTCAGTCCCACGTGCAGGCCTACACCCTCAGGTGGCCCCCTGGGCCCCGTGTCCTGGCCCACTCGCCACGCAGCCTTGTCATACTGCCGGTTCCCTCCATCGCTTGAAATCACATACTTTCACAAACTGCTTACGTGTCACTTCTGACCTCTTGCTAGGACAGTCGGGTGTTTGGCTGATATTCATGGTCTGTCACCTCCCTCCTTTATACTCTTTCTGTCTCTTCTGTTAATTACATTTGAAGCTCTAAGTAGCCTGCTTAAACCTTCCGTTCCCACATACCCTGAACGTGAGGCAGTCTCTTCCTCTCCCCCCACAGAAAGTGAACACATTTGGGCCCCTTCCCACCCCTTTCCTGCCTCCGCCTTTCCTTCGCCTTCCCCCGTCGGGCTGCACGGTGTTTACTTTCAGTGTCAGAACCCCAGTTAGTGTTCTGTGCTCTGTCTGGAGTTTGGCTTGGGCGAAAATGTGGTCCGTGTGACCGTGGTCGTGGCAGAGACAGCTTTTACGGGAAGAACGCACACCGGCCCCACTTGCGAGAGCACACGTGGGAGTTGGGGGCGGGGGCCCGCGATGTCTCCCGGGGTCTGAGGAGCAGGGAACACGGGAGCACCGACAAGGCAGGGCCCCCTCCGGGGCTCCGAGGCTGCACTTCTCACACCCTGGCCCCAAGGGACTTCAAGGGACATGTGTCGAGAGCCCGACTGCCAGGGGCCGTGCCCTGTGCAGCCAGAGGGTGACCCCTTGCTGTCCGGGGGGGCAGTGAGCTGGCGTTGGATCCCGTGCTCCGGTGTGGGCTGATTCGGGTCTCCCTGTCTTCACAGTCACATCTCTGGAAGAGCTCCCCGTGGGAATATCCTGCCTCCCCGACACGTTCACCAGGCTGATCAACAGCCAGGAGGGCCCCTGCAGCTTGGATGAGTTTGTCCACCAGGTGGAGCTGTCCGGGTATGAACCTGGAGACGTGTGCGCGGCCCTGGAGGTCCAGGGGGCCATTGCAGCCACGGGGTGCTTCGGGGTAGACCGAGTGGAGCTGAGCAGGTGGTTCTCCGCCTTCGAGGGGACAGATGGCGAGCGCACCAGGACCTTCGCAGACTACGTCCAGGTGAGCCGTGCTTTCGGGTCACCTGGGGCAGCTGCAGCTCGGGGGCCGGATGCACGCAGTGGGTGGGCGTGGCTTGGGATGCGTGGTGGAATTACTTGCCAAGATTAAAAATAGGAGATTTTGCCTAAAACCCAGCTTTGGGATGTTAGAAGGTCTGGCAGCCTGGGCCCCGTTGCTTCAGCCACACAGCACAGTTGGACAGAGCCAAGTAGGGCCATGTCCGCGGCCGTGACTCCTGGGGATCCTGCCCCTGGCCCCGCGTACTCACCCCTCTACCTGCCTGGGCCCAGTTTCATCAGGCACCCTTGAACCCAGAGAATGTCAAAACAGATGGACCTCTTAAATCAAGTGCCGTGGGGCCTGGCTCGCCCTCCTGTGTGTCGTCCGTAGTTGGAAGCAGTGGGATGCACGTCAGCTATTGGTGATGTCACAGAGATGGCTGCCTTGCAGCGTTCATGGTGGGGCAGGAGAGTAGAGACCAGTGTTCCTGGTTATCAAACCAGTTTTTAGGAGCACAGGACAGGAGAGAGGGGTTGTGACCACCATTCACGTGGTGTTTCACTGTTCACATAACTCCTGCCTCTGGAGCTCTAGGAGGTAAACCGACACGGGTCAGGCGGCTCCCTGTGTTCCCTGCTGCCCAGCCCCGGGCCCCAGGTGGCGAGTGCCCGCATGACCCTCCCCACCAGTCCTGCCTGACCTGGTTTCGGGACGTGAACTGGGGCAAGTTTCTTGAACCCTGACCTATGGGTTTTCGAATCTGGAAATGAAAAGAAGGACCACCCAGCGTTGGTGCAGCGCCTAGATCAGAACAAGGACCTCGGAAGCAGGGCTTGGCATAAGTACGAGAGGCGTTCCCGTCATTCATGTGGGAACGGTCATGGCCTTTACAGAGCTCGGGGTGTTGAGTCCCCTGGGAGGACGCTTTGATGGCCGCGTCAAGGGCACAGCTTCGGTTCCCCGAAGTTCACACCAAGCCTAGAGAGGGCCACACGGCCAGCTGGCACCCACCTGGGGCCAGAAGGCAGACCTGGGCCCCGAGTTGTCCGTCCTGGAGGGACTGGGCTTGCCGTTTGCTCAGGGCACTCAGACACATCGGGCAAGGGAAGCGGGCGTGAGGATCGTGCGGTCCCCCACAGACCCAGTGTGTCCCCCTCTTCTCCTAGGACCTCTTGGAGTACCACCAGGTGGTGGAGGTCGGCGGCAACACTGTTCGCCTGGTGGCCATGGCCTCTGCCCAGCCCTGGCTCCTGCACTCAGTGCGGCTAAAAGGCAAAAAGGAGGATGTGGACGCTCAAAGAGAAGACCCCCGGAGCCCCCGGAGCACCAAGAGGCGTGCCAGCTGGACGAGCAGCGATGTGGCCCATCAGGGTGGGGAAACCGACCTGGAGAGTCCCCAGAAGCCCCCCGCTAAGAGGCCCGCGCTCCAGGATGTGCGCTTGGCCCTGAGCCCCAGGCCCAGAGCAGAAGAGGAGCCGGAAGCCCCGGCCCCTGCTCCGCCAGCAGCTCCCGGAGACGCAGGCGTGAAGGAGCCTGCCCCGGGGGCGCTGGAGGCCGGGCAAGAGTTCCAAGAGAATCTGAGGGCAGCCAGCCCTCTAGGCCAGGAGCCGCTAAGCTGTCAGGCCCAGCTTCCAGAGGGATCTGAAGACCCCAGAGGTACCGAGCCTTGTCGCCGGCCCACCCTCCCCCACCTGCCCATGCTCTGCCCTCGGGTCCAAGCAGTCCCCACATGCCGCTGGGAACCTGCCCCCGGCCACAGAAGGCCGTTGCCTCCAGCCTTTCCTGTCTCCACGTAGAAAGGTCTCGCCTGCGTCCGCTTACTGCTTCCACTAGAGGGCTTCAGACTCCTGAGTGGGGGTGGGGGTCCTAAGCGTGGTCACCGGGGTGCTTCTGGAGGGCTGTGTGTGCCAAGGTGTCCCGTGCGAGGGAGCGGTGCCTGAAATAGGAGGCGTCTCGCTTTCCGTCGGGACCGGCTGACGCACGGGGACTGAAACCTCCCCTGTGGCGAAAGCGCTCCTGTCTGGGCTCAACGCGGGCCTCTTCACGGGGCTTCAGAAGGTCTTTGCCTGGGGTTTATGCACAGAGCTCTGCGGTCAGGGCTTCTGGGCGGGAGGGGCTCGCTTGGCTCCCCTTGTGGGGGCTCCTCGGGGCCCTGGGAACACCCCTCACACTCGCACGCCGTGGCCCAACCCGGCTTCGTTCTGGGTGTGCCGGCTTTGTTCCCTCAGCCCCAGAGCCCGCAGGTGCGTGTCGCACGGAGGGAGGAGGAAGAGGCGGACTCCGCCCCTTAGTCTCCCTTGTCCTTTCCCTCTCCTGTCAGGTTCGGCAGAGAGTTCTGTGGCCGGCAGCCTGTCCCAGGCAGCATGGGAAAAGTGAGTGTGTGCCCAGATTCGGGGGGCCTGGGCGGGGCGTGGGTGCGACGGTGGGGAGTATGCCCCAGGGTCCCCGTAGTGATCATCACGTGGAGGTGGTTCACGGTCGGGCACAGTGGTTCTCGGCGGGGGGACCTGCAGACTCATGGCACGTTGTCCCGCTTGCTGGGGGGCACAAGGTAGGAGCTTCTCGCGTGCGGTGGGCGAGGGCCCGAGGTGTGGGCTTCTGCAGTGTGGGTCCATCTGGAACCGTGGCCTTTCTGGTGGGGGGGCACCCCCACAAGTGCGTACGTGGCCCTCAGCTTGGCGGGGCCGAGCGCCCCCGGCTCAGATGCAGCCCTTCCAGGGCCCAGGCAGGGCGGGCAGAGCCAAGTGTCCAGCCGATGCCGGGCCTGTCCTGTGCCCAGACCCCGCGCGGCAGACCGGTCCTGGGGATAGGGGGCGGGGGGGCTGCCAGATATGACACGGAAGTAGAGCTTCCGCATAAGGACCCCAGCTTGGCCCAGTGTGCAGGCAGCCATTGCCTCAGGGTCCGGGATGGAGCTGGCGAATCCAGAAATCGAAGCTCTTTTCCGTCCCCAGCCAGTGGGGGTCCGGCCGGGGGCTCATCGAGGCCTCGGTTGAGGCTGAGGGGGAACGGGTCCCCTCAGCCGGTGATCCTGGGCCCCGGGGCCGGGACTCCTCCATCCAGGTGGGAAGGGCCTCGGCGTCCCATCTGTGGAGCGGGGGGTCCGTGCGTCAGCGAGCCTGTCCCCTCGCCCGCCAAGCCCGACAGCAGACTGCCGTCCCCGCAGGGACTGCGAGGGCATCTCGTTCGTCGCCCGCCCGTGGCGCATCGTGGACGGCCACCTGAACGTGCCGGTGTGCAAGGGCATGATGGAGGCCGTCCTCTACCACATCATGACCAGGCCCGGCATTCCCGAGACCTGCCTGCTGCAGCACTACCAGGGCGTCCTGCAGCCCGTCGCCGTGCTCGAGCTGCTGCAGGTGCGGCCGGGCCGTCGGGGGGGTTTCTAGGATGGGCCTGAGGGTGCCGAGACTACCCCCCCCCCCGGGAGTCCTACCCCCCAGCCCTGCCGAGAGACATGTACTCCCCACCTTCCCATGAGCCCTA